GTGACCACAGACCAAAATGAAAGTAATCGTGCACCACAATTAGTAGCAAACCGCATTGTTGGAAATGGAAATATACAGGATTTACCACCTACTATACCGAGGTTCGGACATTCGTATCTATAATATCAACTTCCATGCACATTCTTTCCCAACAAATAAGCATGATATGAATTCAGGTATGAAGGTTCTGCTGGAAGCTATACTGGACGCACTATCTCCCGTGTGTTGTCACCTGCATCGCGACCTAGTGTAGTGCATGCCACATCGGCTCCAGTGGTACATATGAAGGACCCTTCAACCTTTTTCCAATAAATTTTCTCATATCGATTTTTAGCGGTCATCTGGAGGAGGAAAACTCCTCATGGTCCGACGCTCGGATGGTACAACACAATTTTTACGACAAATTCCACAAGGAGAAGAGTCAAATGCGACGTAAGGGAATTATCTCCCTAAATAAAAATTTCTATTCATAATCTACGGTGTAAATGCTGATATCTGATTGCAGGCATCTGCCAGTTGTGAAAACTAGGAGCCAACAACCTCTTATAGGCTCCAGAATAGTGAGAGTAGCGGTAAGAGTCTCTCTGTTTTGTTTGCGAAGAATCCATTTCCGCTGATATGTTAAGAGTCGACAAGACCAGCCTACTTCTACCCGGCTTGTTTCTGCTCATGGAGTAGAAGTCACTACTGCTCGCCAAGGAATTGAGCAGACTGTAGATCCGTTCATGAAAAGGATGGCTATGGAGAAGGCAGCTTCTGGTTCAGTTACTGCTTCACAAGGCGCTGTGAGATTTTTTCCTTGAATCGTAGTCAAATATTATCCCTTATGTTATTGTATTGCGGAAGCTCATCTGCTATTGGGGAAAACATTCACTTCTATAAGAGTTACTCGTTGCGTTTAAAAGACTTTTCTAGCATCGGCGGCAGGTGGGACGACCAGCTGAGGCTTACGAGGAGATCTATTATGAACCATCTGAGGTAAAAGTAATAAGGATCGTATCAGGCTCACTCTATGGTACTGTTTAGGACCAAGTTGTGTACACTGACGGAGTGCGGCCGATCACGCGTCCCTCAAATAGGTTAGCTCTTTATGCAGGAGGTTATCTAAAAAAGTCTTAGATCTTTTCTTTGAAAATCATATGTCTAGGTATGGTCAAAATACGGTTATCTCGCGAATGGTGCCTCGCAGCTCAAACGCATTTGTTGGAAGGAGTCAAGCCAGCAACGTAAGAATTTTGGAACTTGAACGTACGGAAGATTTAGAGAAGAAACAAATAAGGACTAAATCTGCTGCTAAGCGTGCCGGCTAAGAAAATTCTAATTTGGCTTAAGGCTCGCCTGTTTTGGGAATTGGTCTCGCTGCTAATATAGTATCTTTTGTAACATACTCCAGTGGCCCTCAAGCTATCATGGCTCTCAATTTAGAACGCACAGCGAGTGTACTACGTTAAAAACTCTGTAGCGAT